TTCAGCCTCTGATAGCTCTTGACAGTTATATAGCCTCTGATAGCTATTTTGATAGATATCCAGCCTTTAATAGCTATCTTGACAGTTATTCAGCCTTTGATAGCTATCTTGACAGTTATTCAGCCTATGATAGCCATCTAGACAGTTATTCAGCCTCTGATAGCCATCTTGACAGTTAATCAGCCTCTGATAGCCACCTTGACTGTTAATCAGCCTCTGATAGCTATCTTGACTGTTAATCAGCCTCTGATAGCTATCTTGACAGTTATTTAGCCTCTGATAGATATCTTGATAATTATTCAGCCTTTGATAGCTATCTTGACAGTTATGCAGCCTCTGATAGCTATCTTGACATTTATTCAGTCTCTGATAGCTATCTTGACAGTTATTCAGCCTCTGATAGCTATCTTGAAAGTTATTCAGCCTCTGATAGCTATCTTGACAGTTATTAAGCCTCTGATAGCTATCTTGACAGTTATTGAGCCTCTGATAGCTATCTTGACAGTTATTCAGCCCCTGAAAGCCATCTTGACAGTTATTCAGCCTCTGAGAGCCATCTTGACAGTTATTCAGCCTCTGATAGCCATCTGGACAGTTAGTCAGCCTCTGATAGCCATCTGGACAGTTAGTCAGCCTCTGATAGCCATCTGGACAGTTAGTCAGTCTCTGATAGCCATCTGGACAGTTAGTCAGCCTCTGATAGCCATCTGGACAGTTAGTCAGCCTCTGATAGCCATCTGGACAGTTAGCCTCTGATAGCCATGTGGACAGTTAGTCAGCCAATGATAGCCATCTGGACAGTTAGTCAGCCAATGATAGCCATCTGGACAGTTAGTCAGCCTCTGATAGCCATCTGGACAGTTGATCAGCTTCTGATAGCCATCTGGACAGTTAGTCAGCCAATGATAGCCATCTGGACAGTTAGTCAGCCAATGATAGCCATCTGGACAGTTAGTCAGCCTCTGATAGCCATCTGGACAGTTGGTCAGCCTCTGATAGCCATTTGGACAGTTAGTCAGCCTCTGATAGCCATCTGGACAGGTAGCCTCTCTGATAGCCATCTGGACAGTTAGTCAGCCTCTGATAGCCATCGG